CCCCAAAACCCCAAAACCCCGAAAAGTTTATTGCTGAATATTAGAGAAATTTAAATTAATGTGAACTTATAGTATAAGAAAACTTCTGCTAAGACTTTGAAATCTTATTAATTGCAAATTTTATTACTAAAGACTTGGATGAATCAATCTAAAGACTTAGAAAATAAAACTCCGCCCACATCTGCTAGGAATACTGGAGGGAAGAAGAGTCAATTTATGCTAAACGAGAATGATCTTTAACTAATGGACCTAACAGGAGTTGCCACGAAGGAACAGAGATTAAGAAGGCAGAAATCAGGATTGAGTCGGAAAGAATTTCTCTATGCAGTTAATTAGGATGACATCATTTTTGCGATACCCTTCGGTGTATTTCAGATAAAAATTGCTTTCACTATGTTCTTGTACTACACCTCCTCCTCATTCCTTACATACAATATGGCATTTTTCCTGATTGAGCCAGACATCTATTAGTGTGTATTTAGTGTTGATCCCTATAAAAATACGTACCCATGCACCAGAGAATACATATGCAATAATGACATCAGATCCTACATCGACAGCTGGGAAGCCAATGAAAATGCTGACACTCGGTTGTACAATTGGGTGGATACTCTTGATCTACATTGCCTAACTAACTATCACATTGGGTTATTTGGTGTTGCCTTATGTGCGGGAATGACTCTGTCAAGTTTGTGCATTCCCCTTTTAGTTTAAAAATATGGACGCAAAATGTTTACATATCTAGGTGCTTTTCTTCAAATTCTTTGTTATTTGGTAATCACAATCTCAACCAACTACCATCTTTACCCTGCAGTCCTTTTTGCATTTGGAATTACAATTCCCTTTAAAAACTTCATTACTTATCCGCATTTAATGGAATTCGTACCTAGACAATAGATTTTCGTTGGTGGGCTAATGAGATGCATTGATGGCTTAGTATTCTCAATCAGTCCATTGATCTTGCACTTTGTAACACATAACACAAAAAATCTGCTCTACATTGCAACTTGTCTGAACATCATTTCGATTGTAGCTCTGCTGATTCTCTACGTGCCAGAATCAATTAAGTTCAACTTGTCTAAAGGCAAGTACGAGGAAGTGATTCGTGACATCAGTTTTATCTGTATTTAGGATCATGTAACGAATTCAAAAAAAGAGGCTATGTTGAAATTGATAAAAACCTATCAGTACCAGCAAGAGAGCAGAAACAACTATTCAGCTCTGCACTTTGTATTTAGTGAGGATTAGTACTTCTATGGGGATAAAGAGAAGGAAAAGCAGCTATTCAACAAATTAAACGTTATTAACTTGCTATTGATGATGACCTGCTGGATAGCTACCAAATTTACGTTTTTCACTATGATATTCTACGTAAAGTATTTACCAGGAGACTTATTCTCAAATGCAACTCTAGGCGGTGCTTCAGCCTTTATATTCTTATTTCAATCTCCAATACTATAGAAATTATGTCCAAAGCGAACCTAGCAGTGCTCTTTCGCTTTTAATGTTCTATGCCTTATCTCTATGTTCCTAATGACTCATCATTTTGTAGATTAGCATTTTATGGTATATGCTGTTGTTTTTATGTGTCTTAGAGCAGGCATGTATTTAAGCTTTAGTACAATATATACTCAGCACTAGGACTTATTTGATTAAGACTTTTTGGGTCCAAGTTTTGCTATTTGTACATTTGTTTCCAGATTATTCGCTGTGTCTGGACCTATGATAGCAGAAGTTTCAGATCGTAAAGTTCCAATCCTACTTATGATCCTTTTAAATTCTATTGCTTTTATTTGTACATCGCTTTTAGTTGTAAGAAATAAGTGAATCGTGATATATTAATAAGCACAAATAAGTATTATCAGATAATTCGTTATAATTGCTAAGTGGGGTTTTGGGGTTTTGGGGTTTTGGGG